AATTCGTGTGTCGCTGTAATGGAGGGAAAACAAGCTAGGGTAAGCAGATTTTCGAAGCTTTACCACCTTATAAAGATAGCCGCTAATTGATCTGTTCAGGTGATTGAGAATTCTGAAGGAGTGCGAACGACCCCATCTGTCATCGCTTTCACCAAAGACGGCGAACGACTCGTCGGAGCTCCAGCCAAGCGTCAGGCTGTTACCAACTCGCAGAACACACTCTTCGCCACAAAACGTTTGATTGGACGTCGTTTTGAGGACGCCGAAGTGCAAAAAGACTTGTAAGTTTTTGACCATTTAAAAATAATTATTCCTACACGTTTAACAATGTCTAGTTTTTTGTTTTCAGGAAGGTTGTGCCATACAAGATCACGAAGGCAAGTAATGGTGATGCCTGGGTCGAGGCTCAAGGAAAGCTTTACTCGCCATCGCAAATTGGAGCATTCACATTGATGAAGATGAAAGAGACCGCTGAACAATACTTGGGAACTACGGTGCACAATGCCGTCATCACTGTACCTGCCTACTTCAACGACTCTCAACGCCAAGCCACCAAGGATGCCGGGCAAATCGCCGGACTGAATGTGCTTCGCGTCATCAATGAACCCACTGCTGCCGCTCTTGCCTACGGATTGGAGAAGACCGAAGATAAAATGTAAGCAACGATTATCTGCATTTTACAGTAGCTGTCGAGTATTTGTTAAGCTTCACTTGTAAATCGTTCTTTCTAGCATTGCTGTGTACGATCTTGGAGGTGGTACTTTCGATGTCTCAATCTTGGAAGTGCAAAAGGGCGTTTTCGAAGTGAAATCGACCAATGGAGATACGTTCTTGGGAGGAGAAGACTTCGATGTTGCCCTTGTTAACTACTTGGCCGGCGAATTCAAGAAGCAAGAGGGAATCGATTTGTCCAAGGATCCTCAAGCCATGCAGGTAAACTTCAACTTAGATTATTAGTACTTAGTTAGGTGAGAGATTTCATTTGATGATGCAATTGTGTTTGATTCCTTGGTTGTTTGAAATGAATACAATAAGTGTCTCTTAATTTAGCGTCTCCGTGAAGCGGCTGAGAAAGCCAAATGCGAGCTCTCATCCACGGCTCAAACCGACATCAATCTCCCCTATTTGACAATGGATGCCAGCGGACCAAAGCACATGATGCTGAAATTGACCCGAGCAAAGTTCGAACAACTTGTTGCCGGTATTTCAGTATCTCTTTGTCTTTGTACACTTGCTTTTAGATCTTGTCAAGCGCACAATTGAACCCTGCAGAAAAGCCATGCACGATGCTGAAGTAAAGCCATCTGACATCAGCGAGGTCTTGCTTGTTGGTAAGTGCTTTGTTCTTTACTTAATTCCAAAGAGATTTAAAATACTAACAAAAAATAATTTTTAGGTGGAATGTCCCGTATGCCCAAGGTGCAAGAGCTCGTGAAGGAAATTTTCGGCCGTTCTCCATCAAAAGCCGTAAATCCCGATGAGGCTGTTGCCATTGGAGCCGCCATTCAAGGAGCAGTGCTTGCCGGAGATATCACCGATGTCCTTCTCCTTGATGTTACTCCTCTGTCCCTTGGAATTGAAACGCTTGGCGGTGTCATGACCAAACTCATCAACAGAAATACGACCATCCCTACAAAGAAGAGCCAGGTAAATGGTTATTTTTAAACAGCTGAACGCTTGGTGCTTAGGTCTTCTCAACCGCTGCCGACGGACAAACTCAGGTGCAAATCAAGGTCTGCCAAGGAGAACGCGAGATCGCAGCTGACAATAAGTGCCTTGGACAATTTTCTTTGGTAAGTGGGAGTTGGTCGATTTATTTTTGTCTTGTTACTTTAGATTGGCATTCCTCCAGCTCCACGTGGTGTTCCGCAAGTTGAGGTCACATTTGACATTGATGCCAACGGAATTGTCAACGTGTCAGCTAAGGTTTTTATCATCTATTATGACCAATATATCATCAAAATTTAGGACCGTGGTACTGGGAAAGAACAACAAAGTACGGTTGTTTAAATTTTTTTAACCTTCGTGTTTCGAGCAGTTGTGGTCGACTACGAATATATTTTCTTTTAGTTGTTATTCAATCTTCTGGTGGACTCTCAAAGGATCAAATTGAGAACATGATCAAGGAGGCTGAACGAAATGCTGTCGCGGATCAGGCTAAGCGTGAAAAGGTACAGAACATTTTATTTCAATTTAAGTTGTTAAATTAGATCGAAATTGTCAATCAAGCCGAAGCTATGGCCAACGATGTGGAGAGCAAAGTGAAAGAATTCGCGGAACAACTCTCCAAGGATGATGTTGAGAAACTAAAGGTCAGTTAATACTTTTCAAAGCTTCCATTAGAAACTTTAGGTGAAAGTCGAGGATATGCGCAAGGTGCTGGCCGAAAAAGACAACAAGACTAACGAGGAAATCAAGGTGAGTTATACTTGTTATGGTTTAATAAAAAATTGACATAGGAGGCCTTGGAACAACTCAAGACTCAATCATTGGATCTCTTCGGAGCCGCCTATAAGAAAATGGCAGAAAAGAACTCGGGAGGACAACAAACTCAGGTAAAATCAAGCGCGCTCTATAACGTTTAGTTTTGATTTCACAATAAATTATTCTTTTTATTTAGGAAGCCGAACAAGCCGAGGAACCAAAGAAGGACAAGCAAGACGGTGGCAAGCAATAAGCAACCTCGACATTTTTACATTTTCAATCCCTTGTAATTGAAAACTTCGAAGCCAGAGCTTTCCATTTAGTGTTAGGCATGACGTAGTTAGTTCTAGATCAACCCCCGTTGTCTCTATTGAGTTATTTCCTTAAATTGTTTGTTTTGTTATTAAAATTTGTTACTCTTTGAACGGTTTTCTTTTGTTTCCTGAACGCCAATGTTTTGAATAAACACAAGATCCTCATGCTTGACACAATTCGTCGCTCAATGTTTTTCCGAATGAAAAAGTTGCTAGTCAGGAGCGAGCGAAAGATTGTGTCCCCTCTCGTACACTGGTATCATAGTTGTTTTTTGGTCTGTTCCGTTGTCATTTTGTGTTTATCCCATTGCGCCTCATTTTTGAAATAAACTTTTTGTCTCGAAGACAAGACAGCATTGCATAGAAGTCACCAAAAGGAGAGTTGGCAGAGCGTTGTGAAGGACAGAAGTGAGTCGATAAAAACGCGTCGCCGGAAAGAATTAGAGTAATCATTGCTGGAGTAAAATCGCATGAGTTTACGTGAGTCGTTTTACCGTTTTACGCAGAAATGACCAAACTCACTTGCATTGGGTCCTCCATCGCTCGATGATAACAAAAAATTAGGAAAGGCCAGGGAGTAGACTTTGTCAAAATGTTGTCTGCGGTCATTTTGAGACCGAAATCGTATTAATTGGTCAACTCACAAAAAAGTTATAACATTTTGAAGACAAAAATGACTTTTGACGACTTTCTGCGCGCTAAAACGTGGATAATACCGTAACCCTTTCTATGGCTAAAAAACTACTTAAGGAAGCGCTTGCAAGGAATTTTTTTCAGTTCTTTTTTTAACACACTTACGACGACGGAACCCACCGGTGGGTCCCGGACCTCAAGTCGCGTGAACTCTCATAATTTTCACCAAAAGAAAAGGTTCAATGCAACAGAAACAAAGTAGTTTACATCATAGCTCGAGAAACGTAGGTCAACTAAATTTTTTTTTTGAAAATTCAGAATCTACGCTACTTATTTGCTATATATGCAAATTTTCATAAAAATAGCTAATCTGAACCGCGCTCATCTCAGATGGAGGTTTTGCAAAACAAAAAAGCGCTCGTCATGAACGTGTTAAGATCTTACTTTCTCATTTTCATGTCATAATAATTGTTTCTTTTTTTCAGATACATCATTAATGACCGGATCAATCAGCACAAGCATAAATATGGATTTCACGAGGTTACTTTTTTTAATATGGCTGTCGTTTAAGCGTGAAAGCTTAGCTTTTATTCGATCTCAGCAACGTGACGAGGAATATAATTTAGATCTGAAGTGTGTAAAAGTAATGTTTATTTAAACATCATCAGTTAACACAATTTCATTAAATGTCATTAAATGGACAGTAAATCTTTATGAAAAAGTAGAACACGTTGAGTCGAATTTCCTTGTCCGACAACACGCTCTTTGTAGATCCGATCTTTCGCGAGAACTCATCAAAAAAAACCCCAGACAATTGCATAACTTTTTGTAGGCAAGTGAACTCAACGATCGCACATAACTTTTTCCTTTGGCTCGTTCAAATCATCGAATTTGTAAGATTTAGCCTTTGCTCTGTTAAGACCCAGTTTTTCAGTCAATTGCAAAAAAGCATCTCCTTATTTTGAATGGCTTGCACGAGCATGTAAGAGGATTAAATATGCGGATGATCTCAAAATTTACCTACATGCGGCAAGAACACTACTGATACTATTTTTTGATAAATATTTACTGTTTAAAACACAATAAAAGCGCGACACCAATAGGCATTTGCGGGTGGTGGGCTGTCAGGTGTGCCTCAAGCTCTCACGGGTAACATGCCTAATACCTAAGTAAGTACACACAAGAAATCTAAAGCCAAAGTCTCACAATTGCAGTCGAGTCCTGCACTACATCGATATTCTGTCCGAAACGACACCCGATTAAAAGGATTCCACCATCATCTGTTAAAAAAATTTCCGGACTTCTTTATAAGTGCCCCTTGCGCGTGTAAACAAGATACGTCGGACCACCATGTTGTTTTGTGTTTTAGTTCCTTTTATGAAGCACACCTCCTTCGGCGCAGATTTTTATTAGCAATCATATTTATTGAAAATTCGCATATTGCATTTATCAAGAAATTCAAAACTATCCATTGACAAAAACCGGGATAAAACACTGCAATAATAGGTAAAATAGCTACAAAAATAAATTTACGGCATAAGTAGGAGCTTCACTTTCCTTGCTCAATAAGTGCTGAACGCGTCTTGACTGTTGATCCACAATGGCTGAGTACCTCCTTGATCTTCATCAATTCATTCTCGATTTGCGAGCCCAATGCCTGATCATCCTAAAAAATTAGAATAGCGAATGACGAACAATCACTAAACTCACCAAACGACAACGTGCGCCTCCTTCTTGATTCAAAGAATCTTTCGTTTCTTTGAACAATTTGCGAGCTTCGACCAGAGCGTTTTGATAAGTGTGTATCTGCTGCCACATAATTGAGATCCTTTCCAAGAGCTCAGAGTTTGACAGTCCATCTCCATCCTTCACCGGTTCCATCAACGCTTGGTACTTGGCAGTGACCAACGAACGCAAGTCCCGTGTTTCCTCTAGCACCTGAAACGACACTAATACGCTAATCCAATTAAAAAAAACCTTATTCCATTGATCTCCACTTTTTCCGTGAAACGAAGACACGATGGATTTGATTTCCTGCACAATTTTGTCTGTGCGAGTACAAATTTCATAGAATTCGTTGCGCAGTGGGTCTTTGAATCCTAAAAAATGTAATTACAGTGAAAAAAGAAATTTAACTTACGCTTTGTTGAGCTTCCTGAAATTGGTACATTTTCCTTGGCATCATCTGGCTCAGCGAGAGTGGACATGCTTTGTTGCAACTCCAGAACTTCCTTCGATGACTTTTTGCGGGTTGCGGCATTGGAGTCACTGCGCATTTGAGCGTAAACCTTTTCAGCCATTCGGTTATTGTCATGAATTTTCTGCATTTGTCGCTTTGTCCAGTCACAGGCGCGCACCATTGAGTCATTCAAGAGCTGGAGTTGTGCTTGCACTTGAGATACCAATGATCTAAAAAACAAAGATGGTAAAAGAGCGAAACATAAGTATTTACCTGTTCTCGCTGTGCGATCGAATCAAACTAGTGTCGTCTTGGTTGTCACCGCGAAGTCGGGCCAGCTCGTGAATCATCGCACGTAAATCCATTACTTGAGCGTGAATTTGTTTGAACTCGGCATCGTTTCCTTTCTTCAAGTGGGAGATCTAAAAACAAAACGTTGCAAAGCATTAAAAATACCAAACTTCTTCTTGTGCATCAGTCAAAAGCTTTTCATAGTGTACACATTTCTCCATTGACCTCTTGGCAGAATCATCTTCGTTGAGAATGGCCTCTTGATACTTTGCGGTCTAAAAATAATGTTGTGAAATTAGCAATAATATTCTTTACAGCTTTTTCGGCCTCGTCGGAGAGTGTTTGAATCGTGTACTTATATTCGGCTTCAAGATCCTTGTAGCGCTTTGCCTAAAGAGGATTACTAAAGTCGTAAAATTTTAAGCACCTCGACCACAAATTCTTCCATTTGATCTCGGAGCGTCTGGAGCTTGCTTTCTTGATCACTCTTATATTCCTCAAGTCTGGAAACCTACAAACACAAAAGTTTTTCTTAAAAAGCGGACAATCACCTTCTGCAAATATTCATGGCACCTGGCTTCAAACTTTGCTTGTCGATCCTGACATTTGTTAAGCTCGGTTTCATGTTCATCAATGACAGTGTCGCGTTCCTAAAAGAAATATTTACGAATGTAACACAGTTTTTAATTAAAGTTGTAATTAATCGTGTCAAAAAAAGTACCCGAATCAAGCGGCGATTTTCTTCAATGATCTGCTTGAACTTGTTCTCATCAGCTCGAAGTCGTTCCACCTCCTCGTTCAATTCAGAATTCGCAAGCGTGGCCTCGTTTTCTCGTTTCTTTTCAACCTCAAGCTGACGATGCAAGGCAGCCACATCACTTTCAAGTCGGACACACTTCTGAGCAGCCCTCTCAAATCCTTGCTTTTCTTCATCCCAAACGGCCTTCGCCTCTTCAAATTCCTTTGTAAGCAAGTCGCATTTGTTGGAGAGCTAAAAGCAAAATGTACTTTTGTGAAAAAAAACCTTGATTACCTCATCATATGTCTGTTTGTTCACAAAGCGTGATGACGATGAGGCGACACGTGGAGATTGAATCACTTTGGTGAAGGACTTCGTAGGCGATGCGTTGATCTCATGTTGTGAAACACCAGCTCCGAGACGGCTCATGATTTGCGAAAGGCTACTCACACCACCGATAAAAGACTAAAAAGAAAAATCTAGAATTATCAAGTTGCTACACACGACCTCGCTAATCGATTTCTCCAACACCCAGCTAGCTTCGTTGAAGGCCACTTCAATTTCTGAAATAAAGAATTCAAAAAAATCCAACGTTAAAATTCAACCTTCCAATGCAGCAATGCTATCCCTTCTCAGACTATCATCAAGACTCAATGTCATCCTGCGGATCTCTTCGGCAAAGTCAGATTTGTCATCTTTGATGTGTTGAAGAATGCGGGCAAACAATTCAGAGGCTCCCTTGATACGTTCGAATAAGAGGCGTGTGGTCATCTTCAAACTCATGACTTTTTCCTAAAATAAATTAATAAACTAACACCGCTTAAGATCAAAAAAACCTTCATCTCATCAAGCGACTCCTTTGTGTGAATCGACTGATTGATAACTTCCTGCGACGCTTCATGTGGAATGTCGTTTACCTAAAAAGCCTCATTAAGATCCAAAAAAAGAAACAATTGCAACTACCTGAAGGGACTGTTCGGTGAAGTTGAAGAGATTTTGATGCAGATTCAAATTGTTTCTAACTTCATCAGCATAGTTGAGAAGCGAGTCGATTTCCTCGGGCACCATTGATCCTTCTCGCATCGACATTTCCCTGTACTTGCCGCCAAGTTCAATTAGCGCCCTCTTCAAATGCTCATTCTCTTGTCCAAGTGTACCCAAACGATCAAGCCATTCCGAAGCCTAAAATCTGTTACGATAACAAACGAGTAGCAGCTACATACGGTTTCCATGCGCCGTTCTTCGGTTCCGATAGCGCTTTCGCGGAGCTCATTTCGATCAATGCTTGTCTGAGCGTACATTGTCATTGTCAAGCTGGCAACTTGTTTTTCCAAATCATCTTTTGATTTCTGGACATTCTAAAGTGAATATTTAGAACCTAGCCTCCAGTCGCAACAAACCGTCAAAAGTCGCAATGCCTTCTTGTAGTCTTGGTCTTGCTCGCGGATCTTTGCATCTCGTTCATCAATGGCATGCTGGAGCTCGTCGATCTTCTCTTGGTACGTCACTTTGCCCAAATCGCCAACATCCACAGAGAAAGTCTAAACAATACAAAAAAATCAAACAAACAAAAATCACAAACCTTATCTCCTGGCGCTCCTTTCACCGACCATTCATTCAATCTGGCCAAAGCCTCGTTGCGCTCGCGGCTCATTTCTTGGTTAGCTCTGAGGAGATCGGCTCGTTCACAGTCCAGCTCCTCGATTCGCTGCTTTAGATCGCCGATATGCCTAAAAGCACTTATTATATGTAGTGCCGACGGAAATAGCATACCGTTGATTGGCATCTCCAAAGATTGAATCGACGCTTTCGTCCATCCACGGAAAACGTTGCCGAGCCTCGTCAAGTTGTCGTTTTGTCTCCGCATACGCTGTCGAGATTTCTTCACTCCATCTGACTTGGTCCTCTTTTTCTCGCTCAAGTGCATCAAGCTAAAATTCATTATTAGTCATTGTCAACCAAAGGTCTATGGTCTATACCTTTGCTTTATTTTCGCGGACATTTTCTAAAAGTTGCTGGTAGGCTTCTTCGATTTCTTTCTTCTCTCGAACGATCTCGACTTCGCGAGACTTCAGAGTGTGAAACTGAAAAGAAAAGTTGCGTGACACCTGAAAAAGATTACCTCTTCAGCCAAGTGGAATTTGTCTTGTCCGGTAATTGTCAAGATGATTTCTTTGAGCCGAATGATTTCAAGACGTTGGATTTGGTTGCGATTCTTCAGATCCTCGTTCTCGTTGAGCGTTTGGACGAGTGGAATCGCTTGGGGGCGATCTCTTGGCAAATCGGAGGCGGCTCTCATTGGCGGTTCGATATTGGCGCTCATCGAAACATCTAAAAAATCAACAGTTGGTCATACATACAGTTAAACCCTACAAGAATACAAAAAAAGTAACTAAAAATAGACGAAAGTCGTGGATTAGGTAGCCTTTTTATAAAAACAAAGGCTAATACCCGAAAAGCGGCTAATCTCCAAAAGAAAACCCCAAGATCATTACTCGTTTCTATAGCAACGGTTAGGATGAAGCTAAGGAATAACGAATGCTGCTGAAAGCATGTAAATTACTAGAGCTTTAGGATCCAATTCCGATAGAATACTACTGTTATGGATTCTCTTCATTCCCAAATGTTCTCTACAGTTGATCCACTCTTGAACTTCAAAACCACTCACCAGGAAAAGAGCGGCTTGTCGCATTGATCGTCGATCGGCGCTCCCAAAGCGGTGTCTCGTTGGCGTCAAGGAAGTTCGAATCGTTGTCAAACATTCTAAAAAAGGGAAAATTGATACCAAGTTGCAACTTGAAACTAAAGAGTCAAATCAAGAAACCAAGTGGGAAAAAGTTAATGGTGTATCAACCAGAAAGAAATTTGAAAACTAGCAAGATTTCTATGAGTGCGTAAGAGTGAGCAATGGTTTGATAGCTATGAAATAACCATAAGCAGTTTCAAATTTCAAATCAGGTCCGGAGTAATTGGGGGAGTGAAAATCTGAAAAATTTGAGCGCGGTGGTAGCCCCGGATGTGCAAAGGGTGGTATTGTAGGGGCGTCTTTTGAATGGGTAACTGAACCCAAGGGTGGAGGGACAAGCTTTCGGATTGGTTTAATAGGATAACAATCGCAAAATTAAATATCTAAGTTGTACGAATACGGTGGTCAAAAAAGTATTAATACCTTCACTTCTTAATTTCACTTGTTACCTTTAAAACTTTTCTATAATCCAAGCATTTTCAACCGGCTTTAAATTTTCAGATACTGCAACTCCTAAACTTGTTCTGCGTAGAAAAACCTTTGACTTGAAAGTTTTCTTTGAGAAGAAAAAGTCTTGAATGTAAAATATGAGCGAAAATAGACTCAAAAGTACTATTACCTTTTCAAAGGGTCCCCCTCGCCCACTCAGCTGAATATCTTCTAGTTTCGTAGGGAAATTCAAATAAAATGGACCGCTACGAAAAATTTACGCAGAAAAAAGGGGCGGGGCTTCGTAGCTTTCATAGCTGCCCAATTTGTTTGAATTTTCTCATAAAAATTAAGATTTTTTCGTCTGCTTTTCTTTGTATTCGCGATTTCACTCTCTAATTGTAGGTTTGATGGACTCATTCAGTCATCGAGAAATCCGAATATCGAATCCTTTCGTGGAGGTAAGCATTTAAAGGTGTTACGCTTTCAAATTTTGCAATTTTTCCCAATTCTTCTGTTTTAGGGTAGTCAAATCGAGATCAGCTACGAGTTGGACGAGAATTTGCCCCTTTCGGTTACCTATCACGACTATTGTCTCAAATCGGCGAGGTTGGTTGGTTTTCTCGATTTTAATGATCTTAAAGCCGATTTTGTAAATCTTGACCCCTGAGAAGTTTGTCTTAAGTTAGCTACGACTGAGTTGAAATCATTTATTTATGATTGATTTCAGGAAGTTTCTTCTGGAATGCTTCACGAAACAATTCGAGGCCTGGCTGGGCGACATGAAGAAAGCGAATTTGCCAAGAGCTCAATTGATGGTCACTATGCATCACCAAATGCGCAACATTAGGAAATGTTTAGATGAAGTAGGTTTTGCGTAGTATGGTTGTCTTTTAACCCATTATTTTTTTTTAGCTTTTTTGGCTCATTATGTGGACAGGATACAAAACTTTCAAGAAGTGTGCGCATTCAATGCATGAACTGGTTTATGCCGACTCCACTGAAGAATCTCTTCAGCGATCATATGGTAAATAAGTTTTTAGAGTTAAAAACTAGTTTTCAAAGGTATAAAATCGAGCTTTAGTCCAGAATCTTTCTCTTCTCGATCATTTCTTTTGTGCAGGTCTCTCTGGAACAGTGCCCGGGTAAGGTTTTATTGATAACATTTCGAAGAGAAATCTTTTAGTTGGTGAGCGAGCGCATGCGGCCTCAATGGAGTTGCTACAAGATATGTGGGTTTATTTTAATGTATAAATTGTATTAAAGATGATTTAGTCTCAATTTGGTCAACGGTTTCCGCGAAGAGCTCACAAATGAGGTGAAAAACATCGGCGATCCGTTCTTTCAATCAACAATCGAGCATGCGCTGCACGTTTTTGTCCAGGTGGGAGGAACTTTTTAAAGATAGCTAACCTATTGAACTGATTTAGGCGTCGATTAAGAAACACGTTGCCACTACGCTCAGTCTACCAGCAAAAGAAGAACTAGAAAAGGTTGATTTTTAAAAAACCAGTTGATCTTCTTGATCTTCGGAATTTTAGGAATTCAATGCTCTAGTAGCTTGGATTGAGAAAGTACCCATGAAAACTGCGGAATCAACGGCGAGCGATGTGCGTGTTTATATGGAGTGCCTATTTGTCGATCAGTACATTGATAAGGTAAGGAATTCGTTTTAAATGTGGCTAAATCCAAATTTTCTTTAGATTTACAACATAACGATTGCTGGCACAGCCCATTCAGCAGAGATTATTGATATTATTGGCTCATTTATGCAGCGAAACAATGGGTAAGGTTTCGTTTTATCAGCTAAACTCTAATTTTGTTATTATTATTTTTAGATATGGTCGACAACGGATTATCAATCGATTGACAACTGAAGTGAATCGACAACTTTTGAATATCTGTAAATTTTGATAAACTTTTAAAAGTGGCTATTTCAAAACTTTCAAACTTTTAGCCGCTTCCACTGCGCTGATTCTGACGTCGTATGCAAATGCGGTCACCTCATTGCGTCGTTTGGATCCGTCGACTTTCATTATGCACATTGTTTGTGGGAAAATCAAGAACTATCTGAAGTGAGTGAATTTATGATTGCCCGATTTTCACCTAATTACATTATAGGCAACATCGCACGGACACCGTCCGTCAAATCATCTCTTTCATCACCAAGGCCGGACATCAATTCAACGATCAGATGGTAGGATTGAATAAGGTTTATAGAATTATTCTTTTTTTTTAGCAACGTTGCGTGATCATAGATGACGAGGACGCGTTGAGTGTCAACGACGAGTTTCTTGACGATGAGACAATTCGCAAAACGTGGAGATCGTGGAGGCCCGATCCGCCTGATGCCTTACATAGTGGGTTGAGAGAAGTGTTCAGATTTTACCAAAATTCTTCAGGCAAGGGACGCGTGCAGCGATCGGCCGATGTTTTCACGATGCTAGTCTCTATTTATGGAAGCAAGGATTCGTTTGTGAAAGAATATCGACAATTATTGGCTGAAAGACTCACTCAAGCAGCACATAAAGATGTAAGTTATGAGTTAGCACTAATGGATCTAATTAAACATTTAGCCGGCTTTTGAATCGCGATATTTGAATCTACTCCGTTTACGATTCTCCGAGGCCGAACTGCAACAATGCGAGGTATTATTTCTCGGGGTTTTTTTTTCAAACAATTAACCTTTTAGGTGATGCTGAAAGACATTTGCGACAGTGAAAATCTTATGGAAGAAATATCAGCAGCCGGCAAATTGGTTTGAACTGAAATTTTCAAAAGCGTAACGTTTTTTTTTAAGGTTTTCCCGTTGAGCGCCCGCATAATCTCGACCTACTTTTGGCCCGACGTCAACAAGGATAAAACGATGGTCAGTTTTGAAGTTAAAACTGGACTTTGATTTTTCAGGAATTCCCTAGCTATTTCGATGAACACTTTGCCGTTTTCGAGCAAGAGTACAAGAAGCTGAAACACGATCGAAAGTTGAATTGGATGAAAGCAGCAGGGTGAGTTGTTTTAGAATTCTCAATGAATTTTATTGTTTAGTTGTGTGGAAATGACGTTGACGATAGATGGAATGTCCGTGGATAAAGTGGTGACGAATTCGACGGCCGCCGTTCTGTATCCGTTTTTGGAACAAGGTAAATCTCGTGGCTTTGAAATGTTCAACATTTCATTTAGAAGCCTGGACGGCAATCCAGCTCATCGAATTACTCAAAATGCCTCGTAGTGTCGTGCAAAAACGATTAGGTTTTTGGCAATCACAGGTTGCTTATTGTTTCAGAACGTAAAATTTTTTTCTTTAGCGCGTGCTGATCAATTCGGGAGAAGACACTTGGACGCTGACCACTCAACCAAATGATGTTGATCAAGTGCAGGTAAATTAAAAAACTTTTGCTAATTTTAGTTTCTGCCTTTAGTATGCCGAGCAGGAAGAAGACGAGGAAGAGGAACTTGACGAAACGGATCGAGAGAAAGATGATGGAAATGGAACAATGGATGAACTTGAACAATATTGGACCTATACGAGAAATTTTATCGTAAGCAATTGTAGATTTAGGCTGGATAAGAACACTTGAGAAGAAACCTTGTGTTTGGAGAAATTTTAGAGCAAATTGGCCCAAAAATGTCAGTGTTTCTAATTTTAGAATGGTCAAGAACAGAAGGAGATGCGCGCCGAGCGACTTTTCGGCATTTACAAGATGTTCGGCATTCAATCGTTGACTTTGGAACAGGTAAATTGTATTTTTACCGTGGCATCTAGACTAAACACTCTTTAGGTGGTGGCCTTTTTGAAGAAGAAAGTCAGCGAAAATCTCCTTTCGATCAACAATGGATTCTATCGAGTGGTGAAAGAATAATTATGATTCGGGTTATTTTGCACGTGTGTAAGTCTCTATATTTTATCATTTTTGAACGTTTACGGGTTTGCTTATTGTATTAGGTTGGAAAGAAAGTTCTCGGAATAAGTTTGACTGGAATTTCTCAAAAACGAATCCACCAATTCAAGAACATTTCATTCTATTATTTACAAGTCGACTCCAAGAAATTACTCGTAAAAAAATGAGCGCAGCTTTCCCTTAAAATTTTGGAGATTTTTGAATAATTCTTATTTTCGAGCTTAAATTCAGCTCACTTTTTGCACCAGAAAAACGATTCCTTATGAGGTAAAGTTAGCATAAATGAGCAATACTCTACATGTATAATCTCTATTTTTGGCCCAAAAATTTTTTTACAGAGAAGCTGTATTTCAACAAATAATTTTTTGGTGTCATCTTCTCGGCACTGAGTGTTTGCTAAAATAGGTCACTCTGAAAAGTCAAAGCATTAGATAAAATTTGCCTTAATCACAAATTTTCCCTATTTGAAGTACTTCATTTTTTAGGTTTTGAGTGGGACCCATTGCCTATCCATGAACCCATTAAAAACTTGTCTAAAGGCTGGGCACTCAAAAAGTGACCAAGTCACTTCAGCTGAAGAAATCTCTTATTTCTTTACCTGAAGGCCACTCGGATTTTTTTTGTCAAAAACTTGAAATATAGACAAGTTTATCAAAAAACCTGGAAAGAATTCATCGCTTGGTTTTTGAGAAACCACCGTGCAACCTTTTTGACAAACTTTCTTACCAACCTAATAGATTTGTGATTGTAATAAAAATTTTAGCTTCAGGGAGGAGAGCTTGAGAAAGAACACTAGAGGCTTTTTTATAAGACCCCTTTGCGAGTGTCAAAAAGATTTGTCGGACCACCATGTTATTTTGTGTTTCAATTTCTTTTATGAAGTACGCCTGCTTCGGCGTAGATTTTTATCGACAATCCTTGATTTAAAAATTCGTACATTGCATTTAGCAAGAAATTCAAAACTATCCATTGACAAAAACCGGGATAAAACACCGCAATAATAGGTAAAACAGACAAAAATAAATTTACAGCATGAGTAGGAGCTTCACTTTCCTTGCTCAATAAGTCCTTCACGCGTCTTGACTCTTGATCCACAATGGCGGAGCACCTCCTTGATCTTCACCAATTCATCCTCGATTTATGGGCCTAATGCAAATTTCGTAGAATTCGTTGCGCAGCGGGTCTTTGAATCCTAAAAAATGTAATTACGATGAAAAAGAAATTTAACATACGCTTTGTTACGCTCTCAAGTGCATTAAGCTAAAATTGATTATTGGTCATTGCTAACCGTTGATACCTTTGCTTTATTTTTTTACTTTTTTACTTTTTTTCTAAAAGTTGCTGGTCATTTTCTAAAAGAGCGGCTTGTCGCATTGATCGTCGATCGGCGCTCCCAAAGCGGCGTCTCGTTGGCGTCAAGGAAGTTCGAATCGTTGTCAAACATTCTAAAAAAGGGAAAATTGATACCAAGTTGCTGCATGAAACTAAAGATTCAAATCAAAAAACCAAGTGGGAAAAAGGTAATGGTGCAAAATGATTGAAAAATCGGTCTTTTTTGCCACTTTTCAATCATTTTGTTCTCAGCGCTGGTTAATGCTAAAAATATGTGTTATATCTCAAAAAACCACCCATTCTTTCAACTTTAATTTGATACCTAAGCGCGCTAAAACATGAAATATTTCTGGGCGCCAAGATATGAGCGGTTCTTTGAGTGTAAACTTAGACTACGCGACGCTCCTAGGGGCGGGGGGGCTACAATTACAGCTTTTACGGTATTCATCTTTAACAATCAACAAAACAACAGGGATTTAAAGATAAAAACAGATAAATCGTCAAGAAAAAGCGATGCACATCCGCGCAAAACAAGGTAAAAATGCGTTTTTCTGATGAAATTTCTTCAAATAGATACCATTCGACGCAGAATTTTGTGCTGGTCCCAAAAATGATACCGTAATACTTGTAATAGTAGCGCCCCCACCCGGTACAGTCGCGTGGTCTGGTCTCTTTTTAGAAAATCATTTTTACTTGGCTCCTAGATTTTTCCCAACTACACTTTGGTACCAAAAAAATACTAGATTTCAAGGGCCCTCATTTGACACCCAAGCGCACACTGTAGCATAAAGCAGCGCGGAGAACGGAGCGTGTAAAGTTAGACTACGCAGCAATACCCCGTCATTATGGGGGGGAGGGCGCTACTATTACAGGTTTTACGGTAAGGTGTTTGGGGGGAGCCACCTATATCTTCGATTTTTCAACTTTAACTAGGGTAATCGAGGGCGCTGAGTACGAATTTCCCATTTTAAACATAGATTTGCTTTTAAAAACTCACTTTTTCGACCTCAAAATTAATGCAAAATCAATGCTTTTTGGCGATTTCGTATGCAAATTTGCGTGTCTACATTTGACTTTTTGAGCATTTAGCCGTAATGATGCACTTAGGCAGGCCCGGGTTGGGTCTGCCTAAGACTTAAATGCTTTTAAACATAATTAGTTTTTTATGGTTTCTATACTAGTTGGGGGGCGGGGGTGGGGGCGCAAATGGACCTGTCCAGGGAAATTTGCATTTAGATTCAGGAATCAGGTTGGCCTAGGAGCCACGTGGTTCTAGGGTGCAGAGTCATAGCCCAGGAAAATATCGGGGCCACGTTGTTATTAATCAAGTTTTTGAAATTTTTCACGGCTAAAACCATTTTCATTCGATTCAGCGTGTTTGGAAACCTAGAAAATAAAAAACTTGCTCGTTCAATGCAAATTTCTTTGGCCACGCCCATTTGCGCTCCCGACTAGTATAGCACCTTTTTTTATTTTAGGGGTCTTTCACCAACACCACGCTCCAACAGAGGTAAGGAGGTTTTATATGATGCGACTGGATTTGAATATCGCTTTTATCGGGAAAATTTTACTACAGGTATTCCTTTGTTTCTTTTCAATTATAATTTGTCCAATTAGGTGTCTTTCAAAAGACTGCAACGTTAAGGCTCGCTCGAGGGCAAAAGGCAATCATGTAAAGTGCCTTGGAGAACATCAGCATTTGCCTCCTGATTTTGGAGAAGAGGTTAGCGCTAACGTTTGAGGTTTATTATTTGTTTTTTAGTTACGTCTAATCAAAAAAGAAGTTAAAAACGCTGGCGTGCAGGGTGTTCCAACTGGCACATCATCAATAGCTACGTTCGCGATGCTGAAAGGCACTTACAACCGTATTTGAACGAAGATGCCATGCTTCAAACGGTAAAAGCGGATTAAAAAGAAAGGATCGATCATTAAAACTGGCCGCACAACATTGACGTTTCTTTATTTGGTAGGGATTTTTTAAAAATAACATTTACATAACCATTTTCATTTATTTAGCGACAAAACTTCTGAACTGAAACAGTCTGCAAATGTAAATGCGGATGCACAAATTCTTCCAAAAATCAACAGTTTGTTTTTCAAACTAGACTGAAAAATGTTTGCTCAGGGTTTTACAAATCGTTCGAGCGATCATATTTGGGACGTTTTACGATCCCAGGATTTCGTGGGCCAGCGAAATATGAGATAAATAAGTGGAACGCTTATGAGCGTGTACTTCTTGGTCAACAGATTGGAAACTCTGCTCAAGAGGGATTTCACTCTTTATTGAAGGTTTGCTAGAAAGCTTTCTAACCTTTTAACTCAGACTTTTTTAGAAGGGACCCAAGAATCCGCATCCATCGTATACTGCGGTCAGACTTTACGAAGAAATGACGCAAATAATCAACCGTTTCAAGCTTTCATCGGCTATCAATCTCACCGTTGGACAAAACTACACACGGAAGAAAACTGTATAGGCTCGACAAAAGCAACGTTTTACTGCTATTTCTAATGGTCGCTTGCCCGGTTGCGATTTTGTGCAAGATCTTTCTCAGCTTTTGACTTATATTAAAAAAATTTTATTTTTATTGTTGTCCTAAATTTCATTGCTATTGTTGTCCTAACTTTCATTGTTATCGGTTGCACTTTTTTGTTAAAGCGATAAAATATTTTACTAATGGTTATTAGCTCCTAGAAAGGGCTAATTTAGATAAATCTTGGAAGATTGTGCAAAAAATTGGAAGATTTCATAAAAAATAGAAGAAAATAAAAAAAACAATAAAAAAAAGTTCAAAAATAAAAATAATAATTAAAAACTCGAATGCTTAATACAGTGTTAAAGTTGCGCAAATGACCCTTTTTGTGCAAAAAAAAAGTTGCGCAAATAAAATTAGCGGAAATTAGCCTACCCCCATTTCGCTTTTATTCGAGTTTACTTTATCATTTTCATGTCATAATAATTGTTTCTTTTTTTCAGATACCTCATTGATGACCAGATCAATCAACACAAGCATAAATACGGATTTCACGAGGTTATATTTTTTCTGTGGTTGTGGTTTAAGCGTGAAAGTTTAGTTTTTCTTCGATATCAGCAACCGGATGGATGTCAAGAACCATGGTTTAGATCAAAAGTGTTTATTTGAAAATTATGAAAACAAATGCATCAAAAAATACGAGTAGCAGCTAAAAAAAATTTAATTAAGGGAGCAGTAAATCTTTGTAAACAGTAAACAACCACAGAAAAAACATAACCTCGTGAAATCCATATTTATGCTTGTGTCGATTGATCTGTTTTCCGTTAGTTTTCCGTGCAGAAACCTAGGCTAAAAACATGTGTTTCGTGATCAGTGTCCAAAATAACCCCTAGACACGCATTTTCGGTTCTTAGCAAAAAATTTTTGAAAAATATTGTCACCGGTGGAAGTCGAACCGGCGACCCTCAGATCAATAGCCTTTCCGCCGCTTTTCGCGATTTTCCCTCGTTTTTCTCGTTTTTTTTGTTTTATCATTTTTTTGATGTTGTTAGAAGGCTTTTTTCAGGAATGTCGTGTCAAGTTGAATCGGAGGAGCACCAGCGACACCTGTTTTTGTATGCATTCAACCGAAAACTCAATGCCGCACAGGCTCAT